CTGGGTTCCCAGGTTCCCGGTTCTGTGTTCCCGGGTTCCCGGTTCCGTGTTCTGGGCCGATTTCGGAGGGCGGCGAGGTTTTTGGGTTCCCGGGTTCCTGGTCGATCTTCTTACCGATCGGTCTCACCATCGATCTCTTTATTTTTTTCTCTATCGATCTCACCATCGATCTCACAACCGATTCCATGATCGATCTCACAAGCGATCTCACTAGAGATCGCATGAGCGATCTCGCGATCGATCTCAGTATCGATCTCATTGAATCGATTTCACTCTCGTTCTCACGATCGACCTTACAATCGTCCTCACTATCGATTCCAAGATTGATCCCACAATCGACCACAATATCCATAGTATTAATTTTCAAATCATCCACTGATTGGGTTTTCTCAGGTGTAATATCTGTATCTATATATATATATATATATATATATATATATGTATGTGAGGAGTGCCCAGCGCGGAGCGAGTCCCCCCCAGGATCGCCCATCCAGGGAGGGTTCGTGCTGGCGGCACCGCCGGTGCGGACCAGCACGAACCCCCCCAGCATGCACAAGATTCCCGCAAGGATGCTCAAGACTCCCCCGGGATCGCGCTTCAGGCATCGCGATCGACCTTACAATCGTCTTCACTATCGATTCCACGATCGATCTCATTATCGATCTCACAATCGATCACAATATCCATACTTACTTTTCAATTCATCCACTGATTGAGGTTTTCTCAGTTGTAATATTTCCTCGTATCTTTAGCCATACGTACTTCTCGGTCTTGGCTCTCTTCTCTCATCGCTCAGCTCTCTGTAAGACGGGATACGCATGCAGTGTGTTGTAAAAGCAATGTGCAAGGATGTGTGTGCGTGTGTCTATTCCTCAATCAGTGCTTGCACTCAAGGGGTCCTCGCGGATGTTGAAGGATTTGGCGAAAGTGTACCGCCGATTTTGGTTGCTGGTTCTGTGTTCCCGGGTTCCCGGTTCCGGGTTCCGGGCCGATTTCGGAGGGCGGCGAGGTTCCCGGGTTCCCGGGTTCCTGGTCGATCTTCTTACCGATCGGTCTCACCATCGATCTCTTGATTTTTTCTCTATCGATCTCACCATCGATCTCACAACCGATTCCATGATCGATCTCACAAGCGATCTCACTAGAGATCGCATGAGCGATCTCGCGATCGATCTCACTATCGATCTCATTGAATCGATTTCACTCTCGTTCTCACGATCGACCTTACAATCGTCCTCACTATCGATTCCAAGATCGATCCCACAATCGACCACAATATCCATAGTATCAATTTTCACATCATCCACTGATTTGGTTTTCTCAGGTGTAATATCTGTATATATGTATATATATATGTATGTGAGGAGTGCCCAGCGCGGAGCGAGTCCCCCCAGGATCGCCCATCCAGGGAGGGTTCGTGCTGGTGGCACTGCCAGTGCGGACCAGCACGAAGATTCCCAAGGATGCACAATATTCCCCCAAGGATGCTCAAGATTCCCCCAAGCATGCGCGGAACCCCCAAGGATACACAACATTCCCCCGGGATCGCGCTTCAGGCATCGCTGGTGTGGGCCGATACGAAACCCCGTGGGATGCGCGAAGCCTCTCTGGACCAGCTGGAGCAGGGCGGCATTCATTTCTGTCCGCGGCTCTTCCCGTCGGAACTTCCAGAGGAGGAGGAGGAGGAGGAGGAGGAGGAGGAGGAGGAGGAGGAGGAGGAGGAGGAGGAGGAGGTGAGGGAGGGGTTGTCGGCAGCGTGAGGCGGATATATCTTGACCCCCCCGGGGACCTGAGAACGGACTCAGAGGCGTAGGCTGTGGGCAGCACATGCGCATTTCGCCTCCTCGTGCACCCACCCCATGCGCCAGGCAGGACAACTTATGAACACACATCTATTCCACATATGTTTGAAGGTGTTGGCAAGGTAGCCGTGTGAAAAGACAGATATTCCATGTATGTGTGAAGGGTGTGATAAGGAAGCCGTGCAACAGCACATACATGTTACATATATTCAGGTTTTCTGGCTCAGGGCGCCCCTCTACGTCCTGCTCTCCCAGCCTGTTTGCAGCGCGTTCGTACCAGAACACCTGAGACATATTAGAGATATTGGATCCTTTTCACTTGGCTTCCTCTTAGAGCCGTCTTGGGCCATCTTAGATGCTCTGGCCGCTCGCGGGGCGCCCCGTCCAGGTCCAAGGGAGGGGTAGGGGTCAAGACGCCCTCCCCGCCCGCAAACCGTCTCGCTCACTCCCACCCGCCCTCCCAACACATACGTAGCGCCCGAGCCTGGCCCGAGCCTCAGCATATTCAGCAGTCGTCTTTGGATGGGCAGCTACTGGGGGCGCATCCGTCGGCGCCGCCGCCGCCTCCGCCGCCACCCGCCGCCGCGCCGCCGCCACCGCCGCCGCCGCCCCGCCGCCCGCCGCCGCCCGCCGCCGCCGCCACCGCCGCCGCCCGCCGCCGCCGCCGCCGCCGCCCCGCTGCCGAATCGCCGCCGCCGCAGCCGCTGCCGCCGCAGCCGCTGCCGCCACCGCGCCGCCGCCGCCGCCGCCACCGCCGCCGCCACCGCCCGCCGCCGCCACCGCCGCCGCCGCCGCCGCCCCCGCCGTCGCCGCCGCCACCGCGCCGCCCGCGCCGCCGCCGCCGCCGCCGCCGCCGCCGCCGCCGCCGCCCCCCGTTGCCGATCGAATCGCCGCCGCCGCAGCCGATGCCGCCGCAGCCGCTGCCGCCACCGCTGCCGCCGCCGCCACCGCCACCGCCGCCGCCACCGCCGCCGCCCCCGCCGCCGCCCCCGCCGTCGCCACCGCCACCGCCGCCGCCACCGCCGCAGCCGCCGCAGCCGCTACCCCCGCCGCAGCCGCCGCAGCCGCCGCCGCCGCCAAGTGTATTCTGTATTGTTTGTTGGCAGGGATGGTAGGGGGAAGCCGCATCGGGTTCGCTGCGCATGCTCTGATTTTTTTACAAGGGATGGTGTGGGGGGCCTTCATTGTCTCGGGTTGGCTCCCAGTCGCCTGGGGGAGGGGGTGTATACTAATAGGGAACAGTGATAAACCCCTCTTCGAAGGGGAAGAGAGGGGTTGGAACAAGAGCCTTCCTAGACCACCTACGCCCAGAGGGCTGGTGGGAGCCAATAGGAATATCCTGAATATGGGATATGCTCCAGTCCAAGTGAAGTCCGCTTTGAGAATAATGAGGCATGATGCTGCTGAGACATGATGCATCTACAGATAGTGGGGGTGAAGAATAAGGGGGATTAGCGTGAATTCGATTCAAGATTATATTCATGATCTTGGAGAGCCGGACGGACTCTTCCTATTTGCATGCGTACGTATCTCGATGTTTCAAGTGCGCATACGTCTTTGTCATGAACGGCCTTCAGAGGTGTACAGTCGTAACGCTTGCACGTAACAGTCATACAGCAAAAAACGAAAACATATTCTGAGTACAATCGATCCAGTTCCCTGGAAGAGATCGCTCTAATAACCTGATTGGTTCCGTATTGTTCGTTTGCGGCCCTGCAGCTTGGAACCCCAAGTGCCCGCGCGGGACGCCGAACATTGCGTCACATTTCCAGTGTGTGTGTGTGTTTTTTCCAAGCCGTTTGAGGTCTGAGTATGAGTGCTTGTTCGTCAGCAGTCGCACTGGGCGTACGTGGCCACGTGGCCCCTGTGCGAATGCAACGCTAACGGTCGCCGCGGCGATCGGGGACATCACGGATGATCGCTTCGGGCGCAAGACCAATTGAGGCGACGCTACGGGCAAGACGAGCATGGTGAGGCTCAACAGACGGGGCTCTTTGGTTGCCTCCTCCCGCTCTTCCTCGCCCTCGTCGTTGTCTCCAGGGCCGACGCCGGTGGCCGCTGAGCATAGCCGATGCAGCAGCGGGGGCGGGCGCGAGCGAGGCCGATGAGCCGCGATGCGCGCGCGCAGGCCACGGCGGCGGCAGACCTGGCCCAGTGGCCAGAGGGTCCATCAGCTTCGGATCCGTCGAGCCCCCGCGTGCCCTGCACTCCAGACAAGCGGAGCCCGCCCTGAGGGCTCCAACGCTCCGACACGCCGTGCCAGGGGCCACCGTAATCTTTTGCCAGGAGAGGGTCGGGACGGAGAAGACGGACCCAGCGTCACCAGGGACGACGCGAGAGGGAGCTGCGCCCGCAGCCCAGGGACGGCCTTGGCGGTTGGCTGGATGACCCCACTCGGGCCCCACTCACGGGTGGCGGCCCTCGGCGAAAGTTGCGCTAGTCCAGTACACATCGGCCTTTTTGGCCTCCTCCCTCCTCCTCCCCTCGCTCACCGAGGGCGCTCCCGCGTGCGTCGCGGGAGCGGGGAGTGGACATGGACAGAGTGCTTGAATTGAAGGGTCCAAGATCTTCGGATGAACTCCAGGATGCGTGTACCTCGGAGTAGCAACACGTCTGGACATCCTGCATAAGATCGGCTTGGGGTCTGGACTCCTTCTCGTAACTCAGCCTGGACTTCGCTTCCCAGACCCCCCGTCGCTGAACGCACATCTGACAGTGTCCTCCCCCAGAGGCACGAGGCGCCCCAGAAGCTAGAATGACTGCGTTCTTGTTGCCAGCTTGGGAGTCGTTCGAACCAGCGTATGGGGAAGCCATTGTAGACTTCGTTCGCCCTCAGAACGACTTGGCATCGTTCGGACGTGTGCATTTTTCCTTCGGCGAGGTCCATCGAGGAGCATCCTTGATCATTTGGCGAAAAAGCCACGCACGAAACCGAAAAACACACAGGGAATGGACGTCCGAGCGATGGCCAGACAAGGCTGTCTGCGACTTGGTCCGGTAGGTTGCGTCGGAGTCGGCTGCATTCGGTCGGTTCGGTTCGGCCTGTTGCTGCGTCGTTGCGCCCTTTCTGGGTTGCTTTCGGTCTGTCGGTGTGGCGCCCTTTGGGCTGCTTTCCGCTGTCGGCTCGGTGGGTCTTCTGTTCTGCCGCCGTGGACGTCTGTGGTCGGCGCAGCAGCATATCAATGCCTGGCTCCCCAGATGGTCACTCCGTGCAGGAGCGCGCATGACGGCGATGACCCTAGCCCGACGGAGCCGCCCCACCCATGTGCTCCGTCTCTGCCCCCTCGCTCTCTGTGCCATCGAAGACGCCTGCGGCGAACCACCGCGGCCCCCTGCGTGTTGGAAGCGCCCATCTGGCCAAACGTTGGACCAAAGTCTGGCCAATCTATCCGATTATGGCTTCCCCAATCTATCGAGGAACGTCTTTGGGGAACACGTTGAGGAGGAACACAGATGCGAGGAGGTTGGGGATAAGAATGATGCGGAAGATGAGGGAGAAGAGAAGGAGGCCTCTGGGGGCGCTCTCGCCTTTTTTTTCTTTCTCTCTCTCTCTCTATCTCTCTCTCTCTCTCGGAGTCTCCTGGGGGCCTTCAGAGGGCCTCTTGGGGGGACTCTGAGGGGCCTTTTGTGGGCCTCTTGGGGGCCTCGTGGGGCCTTTGAGGGGCCTCTTGGCCGTCTTAGGATATCGTTGTCCCGTCGCACGATTTCTGAGGCCCTCTTGGGGGCCTCTCTGGGCCGTCTTGGGCCCTCTCGGGACGCTGTAGGGCCGTCTTGGAGGTCTCTGGGGCCGTCTCGGGGTACCCTTGGAGCCGTCTCGAGGGCCGTCTCCAGACTTGCTTGGGGGGCCTCTTAGGCCGTCGAGCTATCTTGGAGAGAGTGTTACAGTCTCCCCCCCCCCCAAAACGACCGAGCACCCAACGAATGTTTGAGTGCGGCTCCGTCGTCGGATCCTCCCGAAGCTTGCCCTGGACGGCTCGCGGGGCGTCTTGGGGGCCTCCTGTGCCGTCTTGGGCCAGACTGGGCCCTCTCGGGGCCCTCCGAGGCAGTCTTGGAGGCGTCTTGGTAGCGGCGTCGTGGAGGCCACATGGAGCCATCTCGGCCATCTCGGATGTCATTTTTGGGGCGTCTCAGAGGCGGAGGCAGCTCATGCGTGTCTTCTCAGGGTGGCCCCGCGGGACGCGCCGAGGCTCGTTGGAAACTCTCTAGAAGGACTCTCTAGAAGGGCCAAGGATTGCTAGGACACCTGGCACGACAAGCAGCCTCGTGCAAGCAAACGGGGGTGGCGGAAAGGAAATGCCTGCGGCGAGTTGGCGCCGCCCCTTGCCTTTTGGAGACTTCCATGCGGCCAGACGTTTGGCGGAAGTCTGGCCAAGCTAATGCTGCCCCAGCCCTTGTGTAATCTCTTGGGGGAACACTTGGGAGAGGAAAAGAAAGAAGGGTGCGAGGGAGGAGGAGGAGGAGGAGGAGGAGGAGGAGGAGGAGGAGGAGGAGGAGGAGGAGGAGGAGGAGGAGGAGGACCGTAACCCTCCCCTCTGCATGTATATATATATATATATATATGTATATCCCTATCTACATGTAAATGTTTATGTGTGTACATATGTGTATCGCGGTGCAGATAGCCGTCGGGTCCGCGCACGGAAGGGATGATGGGGGGATTCAGTTGGCGGGGTGGGGTTCGGAGGCAGCCGCTGCCAGTGGAGCGCCCGCGGGTGCCGGCACCACCACCGCGACGGCCACCGCTTCTGGCCACGGCACGAGCCACCGCGCTCGCTCCCGCGTGCCCCCCCGGCCCGCGCGCTGGCTGCGGGCGACCACGGCGCGCCCGCGCGGGCGCGCGCAGAGGGAGCGAACCTCGCCGCCTGCCCGTCGCGCGCTCCTCCTCCTCCTCCTCTTCCCCCTCCTCCTCCTCCTCCTCCTCCTCCTCCTCCTCCTCTTTCCTCCTGCTCCTCCTCCTCCTCTTCCTCCTCCCTCCTCCTCCTCCTCCTCCTCTCCTCCTCCTCCTCCTCCTCCTCCTCCTCCTCTCCTCCTCCTCCTCCTCCCCCTCCCCCTCCTCCTCCTCTCCTCCTCCTCCTCCCTCCTCCTCCTCTTCTCCTCCTCCCTCCTCCCCTCCCTCCTCCTCCCTCCCTCCCTCCCTCCCTCCCTCCCTCCCTCCCCTCCTCCCTCCCTCCCTCCCTCCCTCCCTCCCCTCCCTCCCTCCCTCCCTCCCTCCCTCCCTCCCTCCCTCCTCCTCCTCCTCCTCCTCCTCCTCCTCCTCCTCCTCCTCCGCCTCCTCCTCCTCCTCCTCCTCCTCCCTCTCCCCCCTCCCCCCCTCCGCCTCCTCCTCCTCCTCCTCCTCCTCCTCCTCCTCCTCCTCCTCCAGCTCCTCCTCCTCCCCTCCTTCTCCTCCTCCTCCTCCTCCTCCCTCCTCCTCCCACCTCCCTCCTCCTCCTCCTCCTCCTCCTCCTCCTCCTCCTCCTCCTCCTCCCTGGCTCTGAGTGCCTGGCAGCAATCCCCAAGATTGAGGACGGCGGCTCCGAGGGTTAGGCAAAGGACCTGGGGGCACTCCACTTCGTGCCACGGGGGCACGGTGTCGGATATTGAGCGTCGCAGAGTAGGAGCAGCGTTGAGTAGGGTCGAGTGAACTACAGTAGGGGTAGAGTCGAGTAGGCTAGAGTAGAGTAGAGTCGATTAGGGCAGAGTAGAACAGGGTAGGGTAGGATAGGACAGAGTATGGTAGAGAGAAGCATATTAGGGTCGAGTAGAGTTGTTTAGCGTATATCCGGGTGGAGTAGAATAGAGAGGCGAGTAGACATGAGTAGATCACGCACCACGTAGAGTTGAGTAGGGTTAGGGTAGAGCAGGGCAGCGCATAGTTCAGTCGTGAGGGGGTGTAGTCGGGAAGAGGAGAGAGGAGAGTAGGCACGAGTAGAGACGAGTAGGAGAATAGTTGAACAGGTTTAGCGTAGAATAGAGTATAGTAGAGTGTAGTAGAGTTGAGAATGTCAGGATATATTGTGTTAGAGTAGCGTAGAGTAGAATCGGGTAGTGCAGGGTAGATCAGGGTCGAGTAGAGCAGAATCGAGTCGAGAGAGCGGAGTCGAGTATTATCGGGTAGGGTAGAGTAGAGTGGCGGGGAGTAGGCAAGAATAGAGAGACGTGTAGGAGTAGAGTTGAGTTCTGTAGACTTAAAGTAGAGTATACTAGACCATAGTACAGTCGAGTCGAGTTGGATGGAGAGGAGTAGAGTAGAGTAGATCAGGTTCGTGTAGGGGCGGCGGGGCAGAGTAGAATAGGGTAGAGTAGGGCAGATCAGAGTCGAACAGAGTCGGGTAGGGTAGAGTCGAGCAGAGTGGATGATAGTATTCACGAGTATATAATATACGAGTATGAGTAGACAAGGGTATGGTTAGAGTTTTCTCAATCGAGTGGGCAACGTTATACTATAATGGAGTAGAGTAGAGTATATTCAGGTTCGGTAGGGTAGAGTAGAGTAGGGTAGACTAGACTAGAACAGAGTAGAGTCGAGTAGAGCAGGCTAGGTTAGATGGTAGGGTAGAGTCGGGGGTACCAAAGCAGAGTAGAGTATACTGGAATATAATTCACCTTGGTCCAGTCCAGTCTACTTCATTTCAGTTTACTTCGTTGCACTCCAGTCAAATTCCGTACAGTCTTCTGATCTGTTTACAGTCTGCGCGGGCTGATATTGTGTAGAAGCGTTCGAAGCTGTCTGTATCGATCTAGCACAATATGAGCCAGTTGTTTCGAACCGCTACTGGATCCTGCCAGCGCTAATCGGTCGTTGAACCCAGCCTGCCAGGACGATTGCATCAAGCATTTCGACGGCCTTTTCAAAGAGATCTTGGGATCAACGCTCCCTGAAAAGAACGCCGACAAGCTGGACAAGGCTTGGCGGACGTGATCAGAGCTACGCTTGCTGGAATGCTGTCGTGGAGGAGCAGGATATACATGGGGCCGAAGGGAAGAGGAACATGATAAGCAGGGGGAGGCGGAGGAGGAACATGTGGACGCGTAGCAGAGGCACCAGGAAGAGACGGAGTTACCTCGCGTCTTTTCCCAGGCAGCTTGTCCGTCATCATTGGCGCACTGCTGACGTCGAAGTTGTTGACGCCTCATGCTGTCCTCGGAAGCAGCACCCCAGCCGCTCGTGTGGAAGAGACGCTCTGTAGGCCAGCTCGACTGCTGTATTACATTCGCCTTAGCCACCGTGATGTCGAGCCACATGCGTGGCAGAGCTACGGGTACCCACAGCTCTGGCGGATGTTCATCTGACGGATGGTCGTTCGATCCAAGCTGCCGTTGCGAAAGCATGGTCCAAGTGAAACCGCGGCCATAGCCAATGGTGTGGCCGCAGGCAGTCAGAGGTAGAAGGGAACCTACGTCAAGAGAGGACACACCACCCGGTCCGAGCAACTGGCGTTTACTGACGGCCCTGGGCGTTCACTAAAAGCTTTGCCCTGTTCGATTCCTTCTTTGGATGCGTTTACTAAACGACCTCGCGTGTCGGGGTCGTTATTATCGGGGTGGATGCTCTGCCCTCTACTACGGACGGCCTCGCTTCAGGTGAGCCGATACACGTAGAAACGAACAACATGTTTGCCTTCGCCACATGACGTAGGTCGGCGACAAGCGAGGGGGGGAAATGAGAGGGAGAAGGCCTTCTCAGAAGGCAGCGGGACTTCTCGGAAGCTAGCTTTTGAGAGGTTTTCTGTGTCTTTGGGGAAGGCGAGGGATTTGTTTCAGAAGGCCCGAGGACTTCCAAGCTGTTGGCGGGATTCCCGAGGGGTGTGTGTTCTTTTCCGGGGAGGCGGCGTGCATCGTGCAGGTGCGGGTTCCTCTCAATACCAGCCGTTGTTGCCCACGACCTGCTGTGCTCTTCCAGTTCTGCCACCATCGCCTTGTCGGCGCAGTCCACTCTTATCAATGCGCTTTATCCCGGCGACAGCACGGCCAGGCATGGCCGCAGGGATTGCTTCATTGCTTGCTTTTGTTTGAGGGGAGAACATCCGAGCCCTGCTGAAAAGGCCCCCCCCCGGGGCTCGCCGCCGAGTGGGAGAAAAACACACACACACAAAAACACAGTGTGTGTGTGTGTGTTTCCCACTGTGTTTTTTTCTTTGTGTGTGTGTGTGTGTGTTTTTCCCACTGTGCTTTTTTTGTGGCCCGTCCGCGTCCCCATCGCCCTCTTCCTCCCCCCCGGGCCTCAGTCCGCCCATCGCCCCCGCCTCTGGCTCCGCTCCCTTCCTGGCCTCGGCCCTGGCGCCGCCGTGCCTCTCCTGCGCCGCCTGCCTGCCGCCGCTTCGGCTGCCATCGCTCGGACGTGTGCATTTTTCCTTCGGCGAGGACCATCGAGGAGCATCCTTGATCATTTGGCGAAAAAAACACGCACGAAGCCGAAAAAAACACAGGGAATGGACGTCCGAGCGATGGCGAGTTCGGCTGCTTGGATATTCGATTACCGCGCCCCCCCTCGCCGATCGTCGAGCGGCGGTTCTGTGCCGTCCAGTTCCGACGCCCTCCGGCTCCCACCGAGCGCCAACGGATGAGCGGATGGTTGGCCTCGTTAGTACAACAATCTCGGCGTTCTGGCACCACCGCGGGGCTCTCGTATGACGGGCCCATTTTCCACCACCATTACCATAGGCAGGAAAGGGAGGAGGAGGAGGGGGCGGAGGACCTCCTCATCCCCCCTTCTCCCCCGTCCTACATATGGTAGTGGTGGTGGAACATTTGCCCATTATCGTAGGGCCGCCCCCCCTGGGTTGATAGCCTCGCCTCGGAAGGACATCGAGAGCGGAAAGGCGAGAAGGCAAGCATCAGTGATGCTCCCTAGGTCTTTGAAGGATGTTGGCCTCTTGGCGACCTCCTGGGGAGGTTTCGTGGCCACTCGTAGCCGTCTTGGAGCGGTCTTGGGGCCTCTTGGAACATCTTGGGGGTCATATTGAGCCATTTTGGGCTATCTTGGGCCATCTTGGAAGGCATCTTGGGCTCTCTGAGGCCCTCCTAGAGCCATCTTGAGCCACCTTGGACGCTCCAACGCCCCGCGCACCCCCCCCTCCGGGTCTAGGGGAGGGGGTAATTAGGGGGAGGGGTCAAGCTGCCCAACCGCCCGCAAGCTGTCTAGCTCACTCCCACCCGCCCTCCAAACACACAAGTAGCACCCGAGCCTGAGCATGTTCAGCGGTCGTCTTTGGATGGGCAGTTACTGGGAACCGAAGCCGATCCCAGGTGCGCGACGCTTGGGCGAGTTGCGCCACGCATGCCAGGGACCGCCAGGCACCCGTGAGGCCCAAGCGTGGCAGGCACGCTTGGTGCGCCAGATGCGCCACGTGCTCCGAGTGCGCAAGGTGTGCGGAACATTCGGCCGCGCCAGGTGCGCCACGTTCGGGGCACGTGCAGAGTGCGTCAGGTGCGCCTGCGCACGTGACAACACACATCGGGAAACATGTCGGCCCCCACCATTCTTGTCGAAAACCAATGCCCATCATTGTGTCTTTTGCCTGCGACCAGCAGGCCACGCGCCACCGCCCCCGCCGTCCCTGTCAAAAGCCATTTGACAGTGATCGCGGAGTGGCCGCATGATCCAGATTTAGCCCCGAGGTACATTTTGTAATGTTTTTTTTAGGGATGGTAGCCCTGCGCACAGCAGGCAATATGCTGACACCCCCGCCCTCCCTGTCAAAAGCAATAGAAAGTGCTCGCGGGTCGCAATCACATGACTCAAGACTTTGCCCCAACAGTGTACGTTGTCATCGGGTTGCATGCTCCAAATGTGGAGGCAGAGTGCGTTTTGTATTGTTTTTGATAGGGAAGGTGGGGGGGGGGCCCTCGGTTGGCTGCCGGTCGCCTGGGGGAGGGGGTGTATAGTAATAGGGAACAGTGATAAATCCCTCCCCGAAGGGAAAAAAGGGGGCTGGAAGAGAAAGCTCTTTAGACCACCTACTCCCAGAGGGCTGATGAGATTGTATAACAGGATAGCACACCTCCCCGGTGGTCATATTCTGCGCCACCCGTGTATGAGCTTGGACGGAACACACCAAGGCAGTGGCCTCGCAACCACAAACATAGACGCCCGAAACTGCAGTGGGCGGCGTGTGCTTCCCCGTGCGCTTTCTGATCATGCCTGCATTTCTCGTACGTGTAGTCCGAAGACTTAATGTGCCCCACTCGCCGTTTCGTCGCTTGACTTCCTTGCTTGCTTGCGGGGGCACTGATGGCGGGGATCTTCACAGGGGGGCTGCATCGACCCCCAATCACCCCATTCGTCGCCGATGGGGGCCTGGTAGCCCACGCCGCCCGGGAATGTGCTCCCGTGCCCCCCCCTCTCCCTTCGTTTAGTGAGGCGCAAACATCGAATAGGCGACGGGGCCCCGGTTGCATGCTCAATCGACTGGCTGCGTCGCCAAACCGGGCGACATGGGCTTCATGTTTCGGGGGCGCCGTCCCCGTCCCGTGGGTTTGGCGCCCTCGCGCCAGACCCGCAGAGTAGCGTGCGCCCGACCCGCCGTTCCCCGCCCCCCCCCCCAGGTGTGCGAGGCGGTCGAGATGGGCGGCGACGCCTCAAAGGTCATGGGCTTCGAGGCGCAGCTGCTGCAGCCCGCCGCCCAGCTCTGCGCCCCCCCCCCACCCCACGGTCAAAAGCCGGGCGAAGGTCGGCAAGCCCGTGGCCGCTGAAGCGGAGCTCCGGGAACTTGTTTGTGTTTTTCCATCCGGGAAGCAGCCCGTTTGCTATTTGGCGCGCTGAGCTTGATTCTGGGAATTTGATGTTTTTCTTCCGGGAAGACCGTTTTAGCATTACATCGGGCCTGTCCCTCTCTCTTTACAGGAGGAATATTCCAAAGTAGTAAAAATAGTCAGGTTTTTTTTTTTTTTTTTTTTTTTTGCATGTTTGGGGTATTTGTTTGTTTTTCGCCCAACATCCCCCTGTAGGGGGACAGGCCCGACCTAATTTTCGCAGCCACGGATTCGCCAGCCCTCGCCCAGCTTCCAGCGCGTGTGCCAGGGGCACCGAGAGGAGATGGAGGCAGCCTTTTGGTGCTCGGTGGCGGGGCAGGGGGGCAGTAAACCGAGGGGGGATCTCGGATGGGGCTCGGCGCATGCAACACGCCGCCTGGGCGGCGCAGGAGCGGTCCCCGAGAAGAGGGCTGCTTGGGAGTCTCCGCGTGCGCCTTCCCTCCTTCCCCACTCCTTGCCGCCCTTCTCCCCCCCCTCCCCTCGTCCTCATGTCTTTTTTCTTCCCCCTCCCCTCCCCTCCTCCTGCCTCCTCCTCCTCCTCCTCCTCCTCCTCCTCTCCTCCTCCTCCTCCTCCTCCTGCCTCCTGCCTCCTCCCTCGACCCCTTGACCTGCCCCTTGGTGTGTGTGTGTGTGTGTGTGCGCGCGCTCCGACCACAGCGTCGAGCCGCGCCCTGCCGTGAGAGTCGCCCCAGGAGACCCTCACAGCGTCCACGGCTCTCGATCCAGCCAGTCGTTGCCAGAGGTGTCCCCTCGTGCCTTCAGCCTCCTCATCTCCAGCTTCATCTTCATCTTCATCTTCATCTTCATCTTCATCTTCATCTTCATCTTCCTCCTCACCCTGCTCCTCCTCATCCTCCTCTCCTCCTCCTCATCCTCATCCTCCTCCTCCTCATCCTCCTCCTCCCTGCCCTCCCCTCCCCTCCACAATTACAGAATACGATTACCATTCTCCTCTCTCCCCTGATGACGTCCAGACGATATCCGGTCCCCCTCCGCGCACTATTGTTTACACAGGATTCCCGGGACATGGGCTTTCGCTTTGTTTTTGTTTCGAAATGTGGCTCCCGCTGGAGCGTTGGCCCCATTTCTGTGCCGCTGGTTGTTCCAAATCGTGCTCCTGCTGCAGCGCGGGCGTGTTCGGTCCTTCCAAATAGGCTCCAACAGGTAGAACATGCCCCCCGGAAAAACGATCGAAAGTGATTCCATAGTCGGTGCCGATTCGTTGTTTTTTTGGGCCGCAGAAGCCCCCTCACTTGGGGGCGTCGTCGCTTTCAGGAAGCATCAAGCGGGAGCCCCGTTTCTGCTTTGAGCAGGCGATGTTGAAAGCAGAGCCAGCGGGCGCTCTCCATCAGCCCCGCCTTGTGTGGAGCATTTTGGGCAGCTCAAGGAGCCAGACATGGAGCCACGACTCCAGACCGACCCAGACCTCCCCAAGACGATCCACTTACCCTCCAAACCCAGCGCTATGCCAGGGCATGCTGTGCGGCGATGTGCTCTGCGCCGCTGTGCGATGCCATGCTATGCGTTGCAATTTTTGCGATGCTATGCTTAACTGCGCAATGCCACGCCATGCAATGACATGCTACGTTCTGCCGTGCTCTTCTACGCATTGCGATGCCGTGATCTACCATGCATCGTGTACCCTCTCGCGATCAATGCTCTGCTCAGCATCCGACTGTGCGAATAGAGTGGATATCTTCGCCGTGGTAAGGGATGGGAGGGAGGGGCAGGACGTCAGATATGACGCGAGCGTACCTAGCTTGCCTCCCCTCCCCTCCCCTCACCTCCCCCACCCTAGAGGTTTGGATGCTGCTTGACTGCGCTGGAGGCGTGGCTTGGCAGGCCAGCCTCGTTCTGGGGGAGCTCTGGCTCCGTTGGGACCCCATCGGTTTCGGCGCCCCTGTGGAGAGGTTCTCCCCGAATGTGGCCCCCCTGCGGTCTGAACCCAGATCCGGGGATTGCTTTTTTATACCGAGTCCTTTTTCCACGGTCCCGTGGACCTCCGGTAAGCGCTTCCCGAGACCGACAATTGCGAAAAACCTATTGCAATCGTTTCCCTCGAACCTCTACCCTCTTCATCCCGTACTCTGTGTCAGTAGTTCCGGGGGTAGCTGTAGTCCAGGGGGGGGGCCTGTAGTCATGGGGAGAGGTACCCGTAGTCCGTGGGAGGTATTAGTAGTCCAGGGTGGGGTACCTGTAGTCCGGGAGGAGGGTACCTGAAGTCCGGGTGGGGTACCTGTAGTTTGCGCTTGGGGGGGGGGGCGGGGGGACGAGTGTTCACGCGTCAACCCGCCCGCGTGGATGTAGTCCCGGGGGGTGTGCTTGTAGTCCGGGGTGGGGTACCTGTAGTCCGGGGAGGGGACACTTGTAGTCCAGGGCCCGGGGATCCAGAACCGCAGACATCCGCCGATGGCCCCCGGACCAGACAAGGGGCCCCGGAGGCCGAGAGCACACCCTCGGATCTGTGGGGCTACTGAGGCACACGGAGCACATCGTCAAGACGATGGGCTCCCCCAGGGGGGGCCTCGTCTGTGAGCGAACAGCGAGGAGGTCCCCCCAGTGGGAGCCCCCTCCCTGCGGGGCCCACGCTTCACATTGGTCATCCGAGCGGGCCCTCGACGGACTCTGCCGGGCGTAGCCCTCGGTCACGCGGCGGAGTCTCGTCCGTGAGCGAAGCGCGAAGAAGTCTCGGGGCCCTCTGGGGCCCGCCCTTTGTGCTGGTCATCCGAGCGGCCATCACGGCCTGCCAGGCTGCGGCTGGCCTGTTTGGCGCAGGTTCGGGCGCCGACGGGCGCGCCCCGGCGCTGCCGCCATCGCGCGAGGGAGGCCCCCCCCCCCCCCAGAGGCACCTAGGACGCCCCAAGAGGCCCCCCAGAGGCCCCCCAGAGGCCCTCAAAGAGGGAGGCCCCCAAGACGCCTCCCAAGACGCACCCCAAGAGGCCCCCCCCCCCCCCAAGAGGCACCCCCAAGACGCCCTGAGAGGCCTCTGAGAGAAGGCCAGCGTCGCTGGCTCTGCGAGGGTTGTGGCCACATTTTGGCCGCCCATGGGGGGGGGGGCCTTGATCTGCTGTACGGCCCCTCTGATCGACCTCCCCCAGCTCGTCGCCGCCGCCCTGGGGCCCCCTGGGGCCCCTCCTGGGCCTTGCGCGGAGGGGTGCTCTGTGGAGGCCACGTGGGCCTGGCCTCCCTTCGCCACGGGGGGATGCGGGTCCCGAGGGAAACGGGTCCCGAGGTCGAGAACGGACCGTGGCAAAGCGGCGGGGGGCAGATTGCCGCAGGACATCGCGGAGAGTGCCAGCACGGCCTCCCTGCTCTCGGGGCCCTCCACGGGCTCCGGGGCCGTCCGAGAAAGCGGCCCAGGAGGAAGAACTCGTCCTGGGGGACAGATCGCCCCAGGGGTCCAGGACCCGCTTCGCACGGAGCCCGTGTCCCCCACGCCGGTCCCTGGCAGAGCTGGGGCCGCCGATCGGGCCCGGGGGGCACCTCTCTGGTGGGACATTCGGTGGCGATGCCCCCGTCGACGTGGCACGCGCAGGGCCGCACGGGCGGGCCGGGTCGGGCCGGGCGCGCCGGGTCGGCCGGGCGCGCCGGGTCGGGCGCGCGGGGCACGGAAGCGTCGTGCGTCCTCGTCAGCGTCGAGTGCGGCTGCAACGAAAGGTCCCACGCAAGTCGCTAGGGGGCTCTGATGGAAGTATAAGCACGGAAGAGGGCCTTGGGGGGACGGGGAGCCCAAGGACGTTCGGTCTGGCACTGGAGGCGGTTTCGCCTGGGATTTTCCTGACGTATTTGTTCAGGGACCGCGCTCTCGCCTCAATGCCAGCTGCATGTTCTACGGACGGCCACGAACCTTGGTAAAAAACTAGCGTGCGCATTGCCGTGTTCTCACCCCTGTCCCGGCTGAATATTTTCTTAATACTGTTTCGCTCAAGGTTTGCAAGATGCGTTTTCTCGCCTCAACGCTGGCCACCACAGGGGGGTCGGAAATTCCCAGACCGTCTGGTCCAGCAGCCGTTTCGCTTTACCATTCCTCAGTTTATTCAGGAATCGCGCTCTCGCCTCAATGCTGGCCACATTCAGTAATCTCGTTTCGCTAGAGGATTCGAATGGTGGTAACAGGGGAACGCATAAGAGTCCCACAGGGGCAAGGGGAGCCCAGCAGCCATCTCGCCTGAGACGTCCTCACAATTTCTCCAGGAATTGTCGGGTGTTGCTAGAAGTGCCCCTGGCCCGTGCCCCCAGCTCTTGGCTCCATTTTGGAGCCCCTGGGGCCCTCTGGGCCTCGTAAGGAGTGCCCTGGAGGCCGTCTGGGCCACCCCGAGAATTCTGGGGGTATCTTGGGCCAGGGGTACTTCTAGCAACACCCGACATCGTGCTCTCGCCTCAATCCTCTGATGCGCCGCTGGTTCGGAGCCAGCTCAAGATTGGAGCGCTGAAGCTGGCGGAGCGGAATGAGCTCATCCAGCATCTTGACCTCGCCTCTGGCGGGGTCGGGATACTTCTGGGACTCAACTCGAGTCCAGTTTTTGTGGAGGTGTGGGCTCGAAAGCCCACCTGGGCAGGGGCCCAGTAGACCTTTTGCCCGCTGGCCCTGGGATAGAGCTCCACAAACACTGCAAATAGGTATGTAGCACCCCGCAGTTGCGGATAAGAGTGAGGGGGCGGCCGCGGGGCGGGTCGCGGGTGGGTCGCGGGCGAGTCGCGGGCGGGTCGCCAGTGAATCGCGGGTGGGTCGTGGGCGGGTCGCGGGTCGCCTGTGGGCCGCGGGTGGGTCGCGGGCGGGTCGCGGGTGGAAGAATCCGCTTTGTGGAACAATTTTTCAGCCAGGTGCCCAGGGACGCTGAGTGATCGTCCGGCCCCTCAC